GTTGTAAACCCCACACTCTTGGTTTCTAAATTGTAATCCACTGAGTGTGGATCTGAGTATAATAARTCAGTTTATTCTCTAATTTATTAAATTTTAGATTGCTCAATTAAGACTTAATTATCCTCAAAAATCAAAATAACTATTGATTGATTCAGCTTCATATCTTTTATATATGATTAGTGATATAAACATACAAACTCACCAAAAAATTAAGTTAAAGAATAATGAAAGATTTACTAGTCAATTAATATTTMATTAAGTTAGTAATTGAGCTCGATTTGCTCTTGAAATATTTATTATTCACATTTTTTTAGTTCATCACTGTTTTGTCAATTTTTATTTATTTCTTTCAATCATAGGTCATTGTAGAAGTTTATCTTCAGGTAGAGAACTAGTTTTAAGTTGCAATCACGGAAAAGGCTAGAATCTCTGCTGTAGTGAAGGATCTTCGAAAATTGTTTGTACCTTCAATAAAGTTACAGTGCGTGCTTAAAATATAGAACATATATAAATATATGCATAAAGCACTCTGAAACGACTTTTAAGATTTGCGTGTTACTTCGAAAACATTCAGCAACTAACTGCAATTTTTTGTGTCTATTCTTAAATATATGTGGGTTGATTAATATTAAAAAATAATATATAAAATAATATTAAAAAAATGGATTTTTTTAAAATTCTAACTGTAGTTAATCTCCTAAAATAGCGCTTATGTATGATTAAAATCAATTTTATTTTTTTTAATTTTGCATTTTATTTTTATATATTGAGTGAGGACTGCCTTAATATTTTTACTTATAACATTATACTTGTAAAGCAACAAAAGCCTTCACAAAAAATCCTCCAGCCAAGTTGCCAACCAAAAAATACTATTAGCATAGACACGCACCTGAAAATATATGGTTTAAAGCTTATGAGTCAATCTGTGTTGRAAATACTGCACATTTCATTACATTTTAAGGTGTTGCATAGTTTTGGGCTGCTTTTGAAGGTACCTGTGGKAGATGTAAAAGATAGAACGATAAATTGCGCAACTATCGCTCGTGACGTCATTACTTATCGCAGTGCATTTACGAGCATATATGTATATACATACATATATCTATAAAGTCTAAGAATTTTAATGAATATATGAACGAGTTTCTGTTACAGTGCTAACAAACAAATTTTTAATTTACTTGACAAGATATGTTTTCTATTGCATGTAAATGTAAACATATATTTCTTTGACAGAATGGATTTTCGGCTGTCATTGCCATTTACTGGCCGCATTTTTTTTTTTTTACTTTTTAGCGCAACATAGTAATCTTATCAAACAACACGTTTGTGGCTGAGAATTGCTCAACAGGACCCAGCAGGAAATTTGAACTGATTTATTCAGTTGTTATATTAAACATGAATGCCGAAAAGCCATGAAGGACGGAACGTGSTGGAACCAAATGATTAAGACGAATTAATCTTTTAACGAAATAAGAACTTGAACTTTAAGATCTATGTCACGATCAGTCCAAATGTGATTGAAATTCAAGTATATATTATATTTACAAAAATKTTTGAAGAGTGTGGAAGAGTTAGAGCAAAAATTTATATTTCTTATATATTATATAAGTAGGAAAAGGCATAAGAACTCTTGGAAAGTGCCAGCAGACTAGGAACGTGGAGTTCCTATTGTAGAAGCTGTGAGCTATAAAATATCTTCTGTAGAAAAATAATCGCAAATAATGGTCGAGRGTTTTCGATGATATTTCGGAGATTACACCGGTACAACTTTTTATAATGATGAACTTCATCGGAAGCACGGGCTAGTTCAGAGAGGAGACAACAGCAAATGTGTGASGAGACAGTAGATGAGTGAGTTTAAGTTCCGTTGGTATGACAATGAGTCGCCCAAAGACCTAGAAGCGTTTTYAGAAAGCCACTCTATCTAATTACCYACCCATAYATGAGTATTTTARTTTTCTACAGGGTCACAGCGCTAACACATACAAGCAAACCGCMAATGCATTAATACGCATACAACTACCCAACGCCACATTCCTTATCAACTCCAGGCATTATCACCAAGCCAAAAAGAAATAATGCCATTTCGACCATTCAGTTAAGTAAGCCGTTAGCCGCTTGACGGTAAAATTAGTCGCTACGCATACGTTTTGTGGCTGTTAATATTTTTTTTTTTTTTAATAAAAATCAGACAAACGGATTATGGATCACATCAATACAGAGTTCGATAAGTATACGAAAGTTTGGAGCGGTCCAGCGGCGCCGAAATTCTTCGATCCGGATTGTTCCATTGGCAAAGTGCTSTTAGCATTTATGCGCAATAATGCCGGAAATATATGTCAGGTATGTGAACAACAACAACAACAAAAAATGCTAATCCAAACATTATAAAWTTTTTTTTATTWTTATTGCAATCAGCTGTCCGATACCGAGGGCACCGCACTCACTAACGGCGAGGCGATTACTTTCGGTATTCGGCTGGCGCAACACTTCAAGGCTATGGGTCTGAAGCAAGACGATGTTATCGGTATTGCCGGCGGCAATACCACATATCTGCTGCCCTTGGTTTTGGGCTGTTTGCTGAATTGTACGCCCTTCCATGCGCTAAGTCCGCACCAAGACGAGTGTAGGTGGCGGCGTAGTTGCCCTTATTTCAGTTTATATTTTATGCATTTATTTCAAATTCACTTCTTGATATTTCCATATGATGCACAGCTACCATGAAAAATCTATTCTACACTACACGCCCGCGTTTGATCTTTTGTGATGGCAGCATCTACGATCGAGTGAGTGCGGTCAGCAAAATGTTGAAGGCGAATGTTTATACTTTGAAGGAGCATCGTGGCGATCTGCCGAGAATCGAGGATCTGCTGGAGCCCACTAAGGGTGAAATGTTTTATGTGTGAGTTTYCAAGCAAGCATCTATTAGGGTTTAAGCCACGGGTCGAGACCATAAAGCACGTTCAACGCAAGAATTTTGTTTAAGCCATGAACAAAGAAGTTCCAAATCCGTTCCGCAGTAAACATATAGTAGAACGTACGGTATAAACATTTAGTCCTCAGTCCTTACACTGCTCAACAAGCAAGAAAGGATATCGAAATATCTCCTGCTTCTTTACTGGCGTAAAYACCGCTTACGTGGTTATAGTCGAGTTAACAACAGCGCGTCAATCTTTCTTCTTTTTGCAATGTAGCGCCATTTTGAGATTCCTAGCGAAGCCAGGTWCTTCTACACCTGGTCTTTCCAACGGAATGTATGTCTTCCTCTTCCTCTGCTTCCYCCWGYGRRTACTGCGTCGAATACTCTCARCGCTGRAGTRTTTTCGTMMATTTGTACGACATGACCATGGAAGATTGCTGTTCCAGTAAGAACTATGTTCGAAGCGGGAATATAGAGCATAATCATTACAGTTTTCTTAAATCAAATTTCAAAATCTTAACTATTTTTGTAGTCAACTAATCTATTTTTATAAAGTATTTGGATATGCTCCACTTTACAGTCCGCAAAACCTTACCATTGGTGGAGATCAAACGGTAGCCATACTCTGCACCTCAAGCACCACTGGACTACCTAAGAATGTATGCATTTCCAATTCTTGCTGCCTCTTCGATTACGGGTAAGTTTCCTTACACAATTAYAGTCATTGTGCTGCTCAATTACTGAAAAAAAACCTTCATTACTCGCCTTCAGTTTTGTGTCCAGCAAGGACGTATTGCTCTCGTTCAGCACCATCGACTGGTCGACGGGTTTATTCAACATGCTCTTCAGTTGCGGCCATAGCGCCACACGCATTRTTGTCGATAAACCTTATACACCGGAATATCTTTTGGAACTAATCGACAAATACAAGGTGACTATACTCACTTTGGCGCCACAACACATTGCCACACTGGTTAAGTCACCGCTTCTAACCAAAGAGCGATTAGTCAGTGTGCGCTTCCTCAGCATTGGTGGTGGTAATTGTTATGTACCGACCTTGTTAAAGATGCAGGAATACGTAACTAATGGTTACATATCTTATGGTTATGCGCTCACTGAATGCGGTGGTGTTTCAGCYAATTTGGGAATCACCAAACCCAGTTCAGTGGGTAAACTCGTACCCGGTTTGAGGGTGAAAATACTTGACGATGCTGGTCGCAGCTTGGGACACAACGAAACCGGCGAAATATTGGTGCATAACAATAAGGTGTGGAACGGTTATTATGGCAATCCGAATGAGACGAAACGTATGCAAGACTATCAGGGTTGGTTTCACACCGGCGATCTGGGTTACTTCGACAATGATAACTACCTTTATGTATTGGACAGAAA